AACAACCAACAATAAAAAGACAATCTACAGAATGGGGAAAATTTTGCTAGCTTTCCATTTGGCAAAGAACTCAAATTCAGAAACCCCAAAAATCAAACACCCAATTTGAAAATTGGCAAGTGAAGAGAAATAACACTTCAAAGAAGAAGAAAATATAAATGGCCAACAAAGACATTCAAATAATGTTCAGCATCTCTGGGCATTAGAGAAATAAAAAATGAATAACACTGAGGTTTTATTTTACCCCAGAAAGAATGCATATCAACAAGATATCAAGTAACAACAAATGTTGGTGAGGTTTCAGGTGGGCTTGAGAGGAGGCTTCTACAGTGTTGGTGGGGACATCAACTAGTACACCCATTATAGAAATCAGTATGGAGATTCCTAAACTCAAACAAGAAATTTCATTCAACCAAGCTATTTCTCTGTAGGCATCTTCCTGAAAGAGTTAAAAGACGTCATAATATATGAATCACAATATATGCATCGTAATACATCATAACACAGTCAATACATACATGCCCATGTTTATAGAAGCATAACTTACAATAGCTAAATCTTGGAAGTAGCCAATGTCTATCAGCAAGTGAATACATAAAGGAAGTGTGGTATTTATATACACATTGCTCTGTCATAAAGGAGGGTGACTACAGTCATTTCTAGAAAAATGGATGCACTTTAAGACAATAATGTTATGACAAATAGCTCAGATACACAAAGTTTAATATTTCTCATATAGGAGAAACCCAGAGCATAAATGGAGACTAAAATAAAGGACAGAGAATAGGAAACAGGGAGATAGATCTTTTTCTCAATGGAAGGAGATCCAAAGATGGAAGATCAGGGGCAGGAGGGGGAAAAAAAGGGATTAAAAAAAAAAGAATTAAGATGTATTATGCACATGTACCAAAACCAAGCATACCGTAAATATCATTTCATCTCCTTTTTTCAATTGTACTTTTTCTCTTCTTAATTTCCTACACATTTTTTTTCTTTCTTCTTCCATTTACTTATTTATTTTTATGTATTTGGTACAGGGTCTCACTATGAATCTCGGACTCACAGTGATCCCCTTTTTTCATCCTCCTCAGTGCTGGGATGACAAGAGTGTGCCACCATGCCCGGTCTTAGTGGCTGACTCAGCAGGCCTGGGAGCCAGGCTATCTTGCTGGCCCTCTTCTTCCAATTTTACATGCATATATCTGGTAATATAAATAACTAGTTGGAAGACACTATGTATTACAACAAATATTGTGAAATTCATATTAACCTGGTAAGTGCTATTCTTTATCACCTGCAATTTTTTTGTTTTAATTCTAATTTGTACTCTCTTTTAAAAAAAACCTACAGACCAATATCCTCTGTAAATATTGTCTCAAACGCCATGAGCACAATCCTCAAACTCATACACAATATGAAACCAGAAGCATATAAGCCAGAGTATATACCATAAGAAAGTGGAGTTTGTTGTGGAATTGAAAGTTTACAGCAATATATCAAAATTTATCCAAGTAGCACACTTTTTAGAACGCAACTGCTGAAACTAGAAAAGCCTTAGCTACATAGGAATAAATCTTTGTATCCTTGGGTCAGACAGTAGTTGCTTAGATATGACACAAAACCTTAAGCACAAAAGAAAAAAAAACAGATAAATCAGACATCATCAAAGTTAATAAGGTAGCTGATGCAATTGTGCACAGCTATAATCCCAGCTACTCAGAAGGATAAGGCACAACTTAGCAAGAACATGTCTCATAAAATAAAAATGTGCTAGAAGTAGAGATCACTGTTTAATCCTCAGGACTGCAGAGAGAAAAGAGAGGAAGAGGGACAGCGAGAAGAAGGGAGGATGGGAGGGAGGAATGGAAGAGACAAGAAGTTTTGTTTCAAAGAGTATCATGATGAAAGTGAGAAGACAATTCACAGAATAAGAAAACATATGTGCAATCATATATCTGATAGGGGACTTGTACTTAGAATGTATGAAGAACTTTCATAACAATAATAAAAAGATAGCCAATTAAAAACTGGGCAAAGACAATGAATAAACATTTCTCTAGGGAAGATAAATAAATGACTAAGGAGCACATGTGATGATATCTGATATCATAAGTCAATAGGGAATTGAAAATGAAAATCAAACTGAAATTTCATTTTTTATTAGTAAGATATCTAGAAGCAAAGCATGTGATAGTATGTGTGATGAGGAGTGTAGAGAAATCAAAACTCTCATACATTGCTTTTAGCCCAGTACAATGGTGCAACCACTTTGAGAAATAATCTAGCTGAATAATTAAACACAGAATTCCTATGTCAGATCTCAGGATAAATCCTGAGAGGATTTCACTGACTTTATCAGACCCAAAAGCTACAACTCTTGTTGCATAGGTCCTGTTTTACCTTGGTCTTAACCACCCAGCAGAAAAGTATAAAAACGAAGTATAAGAAGTAAAGCCATGGTATTATGTTGAGCTGTAGGGGACTCAGGTCAACAATTTCTGACATTGCCAGTGAAGCGGAAGACCCAATACTATTATGGACTACTGGACTCTTTTAGAATATTTTGCTGAGTTAACACACCTATAATATTCAAATAATGGAACTAAACAAGAAAAGGGGATACAGATGAATGTCCATTTTGTATCTGTGTATTCAAAATGGTTAGCATAGATATATAGTTACAGTCTCTTAATGAATAGAGGGATTTGTTCTAAAGGTATTTGTAAATAGGATATCAAGTCTGCATCTTGTACAGCAATTAACCACTAGGAAGAATGTATGCAATGTGTTAATTATTGAAACTGTCCTACCAATTTGGTTTGAAACTGTCTCATTGCTATTTGTTTCTCAATAAAATTATGGAAAAAATTAGAATTCCTATGTCACCCAGGAAATCTACTCTTTACACTACAAAGATACAATGATAGAAGAAAAAGAATGTCATGGTAATGGCAATAAAACAGACATGTGAGTCAATGATACAGAACAGAGATACGGAAACAACTTGAGGCAGACGCAGCTTCCTGGTCTTTGACAATGTAGCCAAAGAGAAATGAAAACATATATTCACTTGATAAACATTTACACAAATGTTTGAAGCAAATTATTCATAATAGACCCAATGTAAAAAAAAAAAAAAACTTGGGCAGTTATCTACTGACAAAAAACAAAATGTATTCATACAATATAAACTATTCAATAGGAAAGGAATGACATCGTGATAAATGCTTGGCATGAATGAAACCTGAAAGTATTATGCCAAGTGAAAGGAGCCAGTTAAAACCACATACTGTATGGTTTCCCCTTTCATAAAAAGACATAGACAAATCAACAGAAATTACTCTTCGACAGAGAGAGGGCAGACTAAATGGGAATGATTTCTAATGTGCAAGAAAGGTCTTTGTTGGGTGATGAAAATGTTTTGAAGTTATATGTGGTGATGGCTGCATCGCTCCGCAGATATACTAAAATTCAATGAATTGTATACTTTAGCAGGTAAATTTGTGCTATATGCATTATAATTTAATAAATATGCTACTACAAAATACTGGGTATCATGAACATACCCAACTCAAGCAAAGTGTGAAAATATTCAGAGTTTTATTTCAACATTAAATATTCTTATTTATATAAAATATTGCATAATTTTGTTTGCATGAGCCATTGATAACATTTAATCATATTGATTTAAAGTAAGAATTATTTTAAAGATGCGGTTCAGTGATGGAACGTTTGGCTCATCTGTACAGGATCTGGGTTCCATCTCCTGCACAATAAAACCAAAAAAATTAACTTTCTACTTGATTTTAATAAGACTTACTCATCTCCTGCTTAGAATGCTTAGTAGTGCTTTGATAATCAAGTCAATAAGCATAAAACAATCAACTTTCTTTGTTGTAGTTTCTAGTCAATTATGATACCGCAAGTAAAAGTTAAAAATTAATCTGAGGCCAAGTTGAAATATTCCTTGCTTTTCCTTCTGTGTAAGTGAACACATGTGCTCTCACAGGATGGGTTTATTTTTTCCCATTAGTGCCACCAACATGTGCCAGGCCAAAAAAGAAAAGCATGTAAACATTCTCTCTCTCTCCCTTCCTCCCTCCCTCCCTCCTGTCTTCCCTCCTTTCCTCCCTCTCTCCCCGCCTCTCTCTCTGTCTTATTCAAGAAATAACCTAATGAAAATGTATCTACCACTGTTGGTTTTTATTTTTATTACATTTAAGTCTGTGAGGGAGAACTTGCTTAGCAGGTGGATCGATTTGAATAGGTTTGTCCCTTTATAGCAAAAAAGAGCCAAAGTAGTTTAGACAAGGCTTCTCCCACACAGAACACATCTCAGTGCTGGCAGTGAAGAGCAGTCCCAGGTGCTCCACCATGTCATCAGGAGACAAGATTCTTTCCACCGCCTCCTCCAGGAGACATGGGTAGGCTCCCGCCTCCACGGTTCCCTCCACTTTGAAAGGAACACGAGAGAAGCCAGAAGGGCTCTTCAGTGCTTCTTGTGAGTCCACTGGCCCTTGACCAGAAAACTAACTGCAGCAGACAGGTGCAAGTGCTGCCTTTTAGTTAGACTAAACATTTCTAAGTCTACAGTAAAAAATGAGAAAATCAATAATAAGAGGCAACATCTAGAAATCTTTGCTGAGAGGACCACGTGTAATATCAAAGCTTCTATCAGGCAACCAAGTCTAACTAACCAATGAACATAAACAATTTGTATTTATAAAGAGTACTGAGAAAGTTTTGATGAGCTCCCATGAATGAAAAGTAAATTTTTCAGTTTTTCTTTGGTTTTCATATGTGTATGGTAATTATTTTGCAGCCTTTTTATATACATAGATTATTCCAAAGCTATAGAAAATATCAAAAGGTCATAATGTTCTGTGTGTAGGCTGAACTCCATTTTAAGAAATACAATAATTTGAAACAGCAAGAGCCATGTATGGTGATGCATACCTATAATCCCAGCACTGAGGGAAGCTGAAGCAGGAGGATTGAAAATGCAAGTTCCGGACGGCAGTAAAAGTGGCGGCTGCAGCGGGGACGCAAGCGGGGCGGTGACCGTGTGGGAAGTGGTCTCACTCTTGGGAAAACTGCTAGGCACCGTCGCCGCGCTGAAGGTGATTCTGTACGTGCTCCGGGTGTGCTTAGCGATGGCCTTGAAATCCGGCGGCGCCAGCCACTCGGAGCTAATCCACAACCTCCGCAAAAATGGAATCATAAAGACAGATAAAGTATTTGAAGTGATGCTGGCTACAGACCGCTCCCACTATGCAAAGTGTAACCCTTATATGGATTCTCCACAATCAATAGGTTTCCAAGCAACAATCATTGCTCCACATATGCATGCATATGCACTAGAACTT